ACAGCCTACCCAATCCTCCTTCCAATACTGTCAACTTCCAGGGGTACCAACGTATAGTTCTTCCCCCTCCCCCGACTGCTAGTCTGCCTCCAATCGTACCTGCCTTCCTGTTGGTCACCTCAGCGTCTCGGCTTTCATCTTCCTGGTGTTGGAGATGCTCAGAGCTCTTCCGTCTCTTCAGCATCTCTCGCTCCTCTTTCCTCTTGTTGGCTCGCTGGAGGAACCTGACTCGAGGTGGGATGGCAAGACCCAAGGAGCTAACGGAAAAAAGAAATTAAAGCAAACCTGATAACAGGTTGGAATGTTTCTGATTAAATCAGTACTTCAATCATTGTAATAATTTCTAGGCATAAAACAAATATTACCCCTCCGCCATGGACTGAGTTTTGTTTGTAGGCATTAGAACAGTAATTTTGCATGCTATAGCTCTTATTAAAAAAAATGGGAAAAAGGACTGCAGATGGTTGACTTGTCATGACCTCTGATGTAAATATAGGGGTCACTCACAGGAACAATAATGCAACTGAGGAAGATGTAATGCCTGGAACATAAACTATCAAGCGAGGAAAGTCAGGGAAACCTGGCATGCAAAATTTGGTGCCCCAAGAAAATTTCCAAGGGGTTTGCCTCGGCTGTAACCTAACTGAATCCTCCTGAAATATTCAACTGCCCGGTGTCGGGATCTTGCCTTTCGTAGTTTGCCTGATCCACCCTCATCTCCCCAAATCTCATTCGTTCACACCCAAAATTACCTACCAACCGTCCCGACATCAGCCAACTTACAAGGAGTATCTCTCCAGGGGGAGTTGGTTGACATCAAAGACGCTCTTGTTCTTCATGAGATAGACCGATTTGACGTAGTTGATGAAGCAGCGCTGGGCCGACTGCTTGAGCTCGTGGCTGCCGGCGCAGAGCGACATCAACTTCTTCTGGATGCTCAGCTTTCGGTTGGGATTGACGCTGCGCAAGTCAAACACGGAAATTTCCAATTTTGTGAAATCTCTTCCAATCTCTTCCAAGACTGAGGCTTCAGGTTATTCTGGGTTACACTTTTCGATGAAATGAAGCACAGCTCCACAAAGATTTTCCTTGAAAAAATTAGCCTCACAGTACGATTTACAACAGAAATCTTGAATAATTTTGTAAATAGACTTGCCTCAAATCAAATATCAATTCTGGTGGGGGGAAAATAAAGAACGAAATTTCAGCTTTTAGGATAACACACTTTAAATAGTCACTCTCTGAAGTTTAATATAAACATCAGAGAGTGACTTTTACAAAAAAACATCAGTTCACAAAAAACACATTAAAGGAATTAAGCTTAGTTTTTATCCATTTTCAGTTGAAACAAATAAGCCAGATTCGACCTTACGACCTCTACCAACATGTACAATGCTCCAGTCAATTTGCTCCTTTTCAGTTGAAATATATGCAGAAACGAGCAAAGACCAGAACATTAAAATGTGGCTTTTGACAACAAATTTAAGACCATTCTAAAACTGCTGTATCTTATTGGCTACACCACCACTAGGTTCCCTTTGTTGGTTCAGCACTCCGCTCAAGTCCATCCCTTCACTCACTTGATCTTCTGGATGGGTATCTTGCGTTCCTCCAGCTGCTCTTTCATCGCCGCCTCCTCGGAGGGGAGCAGGATGAGCAGGGACTCGCCTCCCCGCTCGTAGCGCGCCGTCCGGCCCACTCGATGGATGTAAGTGCTGGCGTCCTCAGGGCAATCCAACTGCACCACCCAGTTGACAGCTGGGAAGTCTGCCGGTTGGTAAAAAAGGAAAAAGACTTAAGAGTCTGCACTTCCGATTCTAATAATGGATGTTTATATGCGCGTTATAATGAGAAGGAATTTCATGAAGTGACAGATAAGAAGTTACACTCCACGACATAAAGCTAGTTTAACTAGCCTTATTTGCAAGTCCGCCATATTGATACGAAAGTCAGATTAACACATTGAAAGATGGCTTCCCAGTAAAAAAAAAATCAGGAATGGAACATTTAATCTGTCACATAAGGGCACTTGTTTTACGTAACACCTGAGAAACTCTCCATAAACCCAGCCCTGATACATGCCAAAATCCCACTCAAAAGTTTAGAAATTTCCTGTGATCATGGGTTGGAATGTTCTATTTGCCAGAAACTGTGGAATAGAACATTCAATTTTTCGCCCGGCATATGTTGTGCATTCATGCCAAGCACTGGGCGAAATAATTCAATATCACGACTGACAACCAGCCAAACATACAAAGTGGATCTAGTCTGGCACTGCACGACAGAAAGTACCTCCATACGGTCTCTCTACAAAACCATAACACTTACCCAGTCCCCTAGCGGCAATGTCGGTGGCAAACAGCACGGCATAGTCCCTCTGGCAGAACTCATTGTAGATGGCCACCCGTCGCAGCTGATGTAGCGTGCCGTACAGGGCCATAATGGTGATGCCCGGGTGCAGGGCGCAGAACACTTCAAAAGTGTACTTCACCTGCACGATGCGGGGTACCAATCAGGGTCGTAATCATAACAGGGGTACAAACTACTATGTTAGCAAAGGGCAACTCTCTGTCTCCATTCCACATCTGAAACTGGGGCTCATTCAAGAATTTGACAGTTATGTGTTCGCTGGTAATGGCACAGAATACCCTGTACATTGACGGCCTACTGGATATGTATCGGTTTAGCAGTTGAGACCATTACAAGGCCAGACAAACGATCATTTGCAGAAACCACTCATAAAAAAAAACAGTCACAAGTAACCGGGTGAATAATGCTCATCTGAATGGCTTGTGACGTGAATTCAGACTAGAGGACTTGTGTTGGTCTTGTGATGGTCTTCAGAGGTCTCGACTGTAACACTGTATTGTACCCTTGTTGGAATTTCAACAGGGCCTAGGAGTAAGTCTTTCAAACTTGAGCATTTCCTTTTGCGACACGTAGTATTTAAGTCCTGAATTCATGAAAATGCTGCCAAAGCAGCTATTGGAGTTGCGGAAGACGGCGGGGATAGACGAATGAGAATCGCTACCTGCTTGCAGCTGGCCATGAAGACGAGAATCTTCTGCTGGGTGTGATTGCGGATAAAGGAGTACAAGAGGTCCATCTTCTGGTCCAGCTCGCACACGACGTAGCTCTGCATGAACAGGACCAAATAAAAAACTGGATCTATGACAAAAGGCTCCGAGGCAACAGGCTGGGGTTTTAGGTAACAAGATAAGACAAATCACCCGACCGGTGTTTATGATTTGCTTCTATTTTAATTGATGTGTTTGTTGAGGTGACAAGCTGATTACCTCTGAAAGGAAATTTCACAGTCACAGCCTTAAAGAAAACCACGAACTGTTTCTTTCACAACTACAACCTATGCCATTTTTACAATTTCGAACAAAAATACTTTACAAGTTACGCTTAAGTCATGAAATTACAGCGGCAAACCAGACTGACGTACGTGAGCACAGGGCTACATGTATTTAATTTCACATTACAAGCACAAGATACTATTGATCTCAAAGACCCATAGCCAAATATTTCTTGTTTTCTCATTCCGGCCTTTTACTCTCCCTCTTTGCCGTCCTTGTACAATAATCTTTTCAGAGTTTGCCTTCGGCTCCCTGGCAACCACTCCACCCATACACCCACCCTCGACTGTTTCACACCCACAGGTCATACCTGCTCTAACTGGGCTGGCGTGCTGTACTCGTGATGCTGGTGGACGGCCACGTACTTGGGGTCCTTTAAGCTCAGTCTGGCCAGATCCCGTACGGATCTAACATCATCACAATAAAATCAATCAAACTCTGATGGAAAACGCACCTTCTTAACTTTGGAACTAGTACAGGAAAATGCAGGATTTAATGAAGGTTAAAACAGAATGCAAATCATGATATTTGAGTTCCTTCTTTCCTGCAGTTCAGCCATGTTGAACTCTGTGATGAAAGCTTAATCCACTGCTGAGTTTCTGCCAATAAACAGATAAGATTCTGGTACCCTTGATCCTTTTTGATAAAAAAAAAAATCCAACCACGCAAGTTTCAACAAGTTCCCCTTGGCTTGAAAGCTACAGCAGCATTGGTGTTTTGGGAGTTTGGGAGAAATTGTTGGTTACAGTTCCAGAAATTTTCAAAGACCAGTTTTCGAAAGGTGAAGCCCTCCTACGTTTGCCAAGGAAGCAATGCGAGAATTTAGTCTGTAGAAGAGAAACTGAGGTGGTTCATGCTGATGGATGCCTTCAGTTGGGGCTAAGCACAAACACCACTAAGCAGATTTTTGGGCTTAGCAAAAATCAGCGGAGAACCAGTCATACGTTATGTACTCTGCATAGCACTTTCACCAATGACCTAGTTTTGCTATTAAGTGTACATTTTCTCTGCCAAGCAGATTTCTGTGGCTAGAAGCTCTGAAACTTTGCCCTGGATAGCAAGGGTCACGTCTGCATCACTTGGCCGTGGCTTGAAAGAAAAAGACTCTCTGGGAACTGGCTACGGCTGCTACCACAGACTCGTGCGTAATTTCTAGCCGTAGCCAAGTGTTTCAGACGAAGCCAGAGGTTTGCCGCCTCTTGTTCTAGTCCAAGCAAGACTGCCCTTTTTTTCCCCGCCCACCTACTTGGTCTGAGTTGCAGAGAAGAGCAGCGTCTGTCGCTCAGTGGGGAGGCTCTCCAGGATGGCATTCATGGTCTTCTCGAAGCCCAGATCCAAGATGCGGTCGGCCTCATCCAGGACTGCAGGGTAAAAGACGGCGCATTAGGAGTCCGTGGCCAGACTTGTTGGCCAAACTAAGTTTGGGCATTACAATGTGCGTAACATTAATGTTTCAAATAGGGAACCAGGCTATGCACAAGCATTTCGTTTTTGCCTGGTACCTGCTATTCAACATCTCTTGTGCATTTTCTAAATAACTGTATTACATTACTCATTGCGATGTGTGGAAACGGAAAAACAATGAAACGAGCAAATTCTTTATCTCATTATTTTCAAGTTTTTGACAGACTCTAATCTTCTTCGTGTTACTTGAAATTAAGACACTTTTGCAAAACTTTGGGTGAAAAGGGAAATTTGCAAAGATTGAACGAGAAAAAAATTCAGCTGACAAGCCAAACATTTTCCCTTGCTCTTTTTGAAGTAACTTCTGAAATTATTTCAATCACGTTACATGGATGCAGAACTGATAAGAGTGAATAGCGCCCTCACTTGTCTGCTGTTGAGATCAGAAAAATAAATGACTTTCATTGAATGCTTTAATGAGTGTGTGGCAACCATTGTCATAACTGGCATTTGTTTTCACTCTTTAATCCCTATATTTGGCAATAATTCTCCAGCCCCCATAAGGTCTTCAAAATTATACTAAAAATATCTCCCTTGTTAACCTTGTGATCCTGCCCTCCCCCCCAAAGAAATCTACACCTAGAAGAGTCTTCCTCATTCGTACTGTCGACATGGATCCGTATGCAGTGACCTCCCCACTAATTGAAAGCAGAGCTTTGTTTGAGGAGGATTTCTATAAAGGAAGGTTTAATGTGTCTCTTTTACTGATTTCGGGCGAATGCCCTTCAAATGGTATTTTTGCCTCAATTACTCCACAAGGCTGTGATAAAAACCAACACGTCTTGGGCCTGTTACTAGAAACTGAAAAACTGAGGGCAAGAACTATGGAGAAATGTAACCACTTGCTGCCAGGGTTGCCAGTACCGGACACATATTCTTTATACGCGTGGCTGGGGTCTCTGAAATTGGACAAAGGGAACTGGGCCTTCTAACAAAAGACCGTACTCATAACAAAAGACCTGGCTGCTGGGAATCAGCAACATTTTTTCACTCTCAATAGTGGAGATAATCCAGCCTTATTTTGAAATGGTATACCATGGTTTGGGGCATTCAGTGTGAGCGGATTACCACTTGGGACAAAAGCGCTCCAACACTGCAGCGATGGGCCACACAGTACTGCAGCATGCTAATCTGGCTCTTATTGAAAAGACATCAGCAGCGCATTGTGCCAGCTTCGGGAACAAAAGAAAATTAGATAACACCGCACAATGTGGGCTCTTTTTACAAGGCTGCAGGCCTGGCTGAAATACTCTTGCATCAATAAATTTTGTCTGTCAGGCTAGAGTGGAGACCAGACAGTTCTTCGTGTGGGTGTAAGTTTCCAGTAAATGAAGAAACGAAAAAAAAAAGAAAATTATCCCGTCCAAGTATCATCAACATTCATAAATGCCCCCAGCACGAAGTAGTTAAGACTGGAAATCATGGAACAAAGATTGCCAATTTATTTCAAACTAAAGAACAAGGGATAAGGACAACAGAAAAAATGCTGTTAGCTCTGGACATTGGAAATGACAGAGGTCAGTTTGTGGAAGAAAAATTCAAAATGGTGGTGGCCTTGTACTGACTGACAAATATTCACCTACCCAGTATCTGCAAGTTGGAACAGTCCAAGCAAACTGTCTGGTCCAAATGCTGTAGAAACCTACCAGGGGTACACACCACTATGTTTGTGCGGGATATTCTCTCCATCTCACTTTTCAAGTCCTGAAAAAAGAAACAAAAAGAAATGTCGGACTCAGGAGGGAGGAGATTACATCATAGAAGATTAATTGTGTACTCGAGGAACCAGACCAAAATGAGAACAGACTGATAAAGGTCACTAAGGGTGCACTGAACCAATTCAAGCTCCATTGAAAATAGTGTAAAATCAGTCAAGTTTGGAGCCCCATTGCAGGCAACTGAAGTCCCTGAGGCCTCTCAAACAAAAAACAATGTGTTGTTTGGTCCTTCAGATTTCATTTGATTTTCAATTTTTAGTAGGTTAACCAATGAATTTTGTAATTATCCGGCCAAAACAAACTCACCCCCAAAAAAAGAATGTTCCCAAGTCTTCTCAGCGGCCATTTTTCAAATGATATCCCTCACCTTCCTCGGGCTCTTTTGACAAATTTCCAGTCTGCTTTGCCCCAAGATGAGTGCCCCTGAATCTACAGAGATGATCCAGGGCTACATACTGACACAATCCTACCATTTCTTGGCCCAAACAGACCTCTCTTTTCGAAAGTATCTGTGGGGGATACTTCTTGTGCACCTCCGCCTGGCGGAGAATTTTCCTTGAATTGGGACACTGCACCCCTAAGGCAGGGTTATGTCCTCTTAATAACAACATGATCCCGGAATGTCGTCTTTTGGAAGTGCAAAATAGCAGGAGATAAAGTGGGCAGATTTCAAGAAGTGCTTTCTCTCATGCCTTCAAGGATTAAATGCTAAAGATAAGGAGGTCTCTCAGAAACCCTGGCCTATAATCATTTAAGATCGACCTTGGGCGTGGGTGATTGATTGCGACAGTTCCCCAACTGGGTCTGCTTGGCATCTGGCAGTAATCCTGCCCTAATATGACTCCCAAGTCTGAGACAGGCATTGGAGAGACAGTTCCAGGCCAACCTGGCAGGACCAAAGTCTTGTGACAGATCTGATCTGGGAGGGGCTCCCCAGGACTTAGATCCCCCCATGGGTGTTTCTGTGGGAGGACATTTGAGAAGGGCAAATTTAATTCTAGGAATTAAAGGCTATAGTGCAGGTGGCCTTGTCTTGAGGACAAGAGGGTGTGACAAAAACAAAGGGAATGAACGACCTCCAGGTCAGCCATTGGGGGGCTAGAGGAGAGCTGCTTAAAGCAAGACAATGTTTGGGCCTTTAAGAAAAAAAGTGTCATGGGAATTCAACTGAATTGATTTTGACTTGAAAAAATACCTTCATCCTTCAACTTCAATTTCTACGTCTTGAAAGATGATGTAGGATTTACAAAAATGTTGAGCTCATCCCTTTAAAATTTCTTTTAGAGCAAACTTGATGAAAGTCTCAGCTAAAGTTGTTCAGCGTGCTGCTACTGCTAGGCTCCTGTGCAGTGAAGGATTTTTAAGGGGTAAGAGGCCCTAGATCTTTTAAAATCCACCACAACTTTTTGGAGGATTTGGATACGGAGGCAATATGGTCCAGCAAATATTCCTTCAGACTGGACCCAACATTTTTTAAAATTCTATTAAGTTTGAGGAGTAAGAATTTAGGCTCCTGCAACGTTATGGGTTTTGAAGAATTGTGGGTCCTAGATCCTTAAAAATCCAACAGAGGATTTTTACAGGATTGAAGTGTAGAAGGCGATAGTTTGAATAGAAAGGTATACCCCAGCCACTGTTCCTTCAAATGGGACTTCATGTTTTGTAACTGTCAGGTACAAAGAATGCACACCTGGGCACAGCAATTACGCTTGACAGGAGTTCGAAGAATATCTGGTAAGTGGTAATGACATCTTTACGGTCAAGGTGATAATGGAAGGCAGAATGGATCCACAACAGATCCACATGCAAAATCGCGGTGTCAAAGTCATGAGCTGCACTGAAGGCGGGCAATCTCCAGTGACTGTCTTCCACTGTCTCTGGGGTAGACATTGGGCGCTTTCCCTGTAAAAGCTGAGACAAACTACAACACCTGCCAGTTTAAGCCCAATGTCAGATCCTTAACACGGCAGATTCGGACAGGGGCACTGTGAGTGCCCGTTGCTATGCACTCCTGTGTTCAGCAACACCTCCCACTCAGCACGGCTGGAGACATTTTAACATTAAACAAATCAGATTGACAGTTCTACTCATGGAAAAACTCTTCAGCTTTGGAACAGCTTGTTGAATTGACACCCCAGACGTTAACAGACGACAAAATATCAATATCGTAATTGTCAAGATGATGTCATGATCGCAGGGCAGCCATGCGCGCAAAAACTAAAATCTTCTTCCAAGGTTACATAAACGTGCGTATACCCTTTCATTTGAACTGGTGATGGAATGGATAGCTTTGAACTTAAAATCCAAGGGCACACGGCAACATATGGCCCAGACAATAAAATATTGAATGCATAATTCACAGAAACAAATTACCTCAGCACAGCTGAGAAGCTCTTGCTGCTGGGCCAATAAAACAATAGTCCAGTGACCCCCGCCGTGGCATTTCAAATGAATTAGGTTTTTCTCCTATTTTCGGTTGATGCAAGCCATGTGACGGCGTTTGAAGTTCTCCTTGTTAAGCTGGCTCGATCCGACGAGAGGAAAAAAAATCAATACCAACGGGCTGCGGCAATTTCAGTTGACAAATTTACATCCAGTTAATGATCGCACGTGTATCTGTCACCGTATTCTTTCCACCTTTGTCTTTCATATCATACTTCATGCACTTAGCATCACAAACGTGGTGTACCGTTTCACAACGTGAAAGGGTTCATGCAGGTGCACGTCACCCCACACATAGAAGCCCATTTTACCATGTAGTCATCAGAATTGATGTATACGTGGCCGAATGGTCCTGGACTTGTGCAACCGAGTGGGAACCTGGCATGAGGGAAAGCATGGATGTGGGCCGTCGGAAAAGTCCCAAACCATTCGAGTTTGCAGACTGCTGGTATGACCGGCATGATGGGCATTCAACAGTGTTTCGCTCACTTGAGCACTACTCGTTTGGCCCATTTTCTCGTAACTCATTCAATTAAAACCAAAAATATTCATAAAACAGTCGACATGAGAAAAATATGTCCAGGTGAAGTATTACTTTGACTTTGACAAAGGCCACAATCACCTTAAAACTGCATTTTTGTGAACAAAGTGCTTCAGTTTTCAATCTTATTTTCTTTTCAAATTTTGGGTAGCATGACATCACTCACTGGACTCTCTCTGGTTTTAAAATCTTGCATGTTGTCGCCATTCACTATGACTACGATGGCCTAAAGCCCGGTGACAACGGGATTCTGTTGGCAACCCCAAACAAGTCAAATGCATGACCCATAAAAATTCAGGACGACCCTGTAATTAATGACAAACCAGATCATCGGCCATTTCGACTCTACAAACATCATACATAAATCTGCATGATGCTGATAACTGAAAATTCCAAATGGTCAGGCTATTTGGTCACGCATACAAGCCTCCAAACTAAAACACTGTTTCAATTCAACAGAATGTGCACAAACCCACAATGCCTTACATGGCCAGAGCCTATCTCAGCACAGCTGCATAAGTACATACATGATATACCTTTTTATTTGCACCAATGAGGGCGCAATAAGCACAGGGTTTGCCGCCTTCATTTGTGAGTGGCCTTGTGTCCGAGGCTCTTATCTTACTGAGTTACATTGTATGTGGAACAGATCCTCAACGGCTGCAGAAAATTCTCAAATATCCTGCAAAATCAGTTGCTGGACATGGTTGTTTTAACACAAAACTTTTAGGAAAACTCTCCCTTCAGTGAAAAAAAATTCCAGAGAGAAATGTACAGTAAAAGGCAATAACACCATAAACTTGAATTAATTAACAATAACCTTAAGACCGCAGATTGAAATCAATGTTCAAATTTCCTCTCATCCCTTTTCATCCTCCAAATTCTGTCAGAAAGTTTGTTCACTTCTCACGCATGCTTAGTAGAAAATTGTGACCAAAAAAGCAGGGGGACTTTCAGCTTCTTTTACAATACATGTAATTTAGTTTATTAAAAGAATTATTCCAAATGCTACTAAATGGAAATTGCCACCAACAAAGGACAACTGGATAGAAATATCTATACATATGGTCAGTGACAGGTTTCTTTGAATAAGGACTGAGGAATCTGTCCCCTTATCTACAGGACATCTGAGAACACAGGAAAATACAGAAATGTACAATTCTGTCAGTCCATGCTGAAGTCAAACGACAAGTCTGTTATTATGAAGAGTAAAACAGTTCAACCCCCCCCCAAGGAAATTAGTGAATTTAAATTTTTGGCCGGAAAAGACATCAACACCTGCAGTCAACAGTTCTCCAAGTTTACATTTTAAAAGATATTTAAAAATTTAAATCTATGCTTTGCAACGATCTTGATGACCATTAAAAAAAAAAAATACACTGCGCACAGGCTGACCTTCCCGGCCAAAATCATCAGAAAAATCTGTCGGGAACAAAGACAATCTCCCCTGTTTAGCCGTTCAATGCCACTTTGCCAGGTGCCCATCAAGACAACATTGATTGGCCTGCTGTGAGCAAGGCCATTTGCATATGACCTCTCCCAGAGGTCACACAGTAAATTACATCCATTAGGCGGCGCTACTTGGAAAACTCGGACCGAAGGAGAGCAGAAGGTGGCATGATGGCCGAAAGTCTTTTTTTTCCAACATTCTAGTGATGTCTTGAGCTGGACTCCAATTTTGTGTTTTGCAGGGGGGTGCTAGCAGTGGCCCCGATGATCAAATACAAACTGGGAAGGGTGCATGGGTCTCTTAGGATGGATACTAATTAAAGTTTACAGAACAAGGACAGCAAAATACGATGTCCTTGGGTGTATCACGCAAGGACTTCAGCCCGGGCTCCACTGTGGCAGGGGGGGGTTTAATGTCTTTCTGGAATTAACTTGCCACGGGCAGATGATGAATAAAACCAGTACTTGGCAGCTAATGGGGTTTGTTTCTGCTCAGGGTTAGGGTACCCGCACATGATATCACTGTGTAGTTTTTCTACAGAATTTATTCCAAT